TTTTTTTTGCTTCACCATCACCATTAGCCCTAAAATCAAACAGCGGGAGTTAAAACTCTACAACCGAGCGGGAATGCCCGATCTGGGCCTCGGGATTCTCATGCCTTACAAAAATGTTGTGCCCTGGACAGAAGCTGCAAATGCAGAAAAAGCGCGGCCCCCTGCGCTCTCTGTGCCGAGAGGAGGGATCAAGTCTCTTGTGGCTAGCGTTAAGCTTCTGCATCTGCATCTGCATACTGAATGTCCTGAGATCCACAGTCCACATCAAAAGGTTTCTCCTTGGAGGGGCTTTCCTCTCCGAAACTGAGAGAGGGGACGCGACCGTTCCCGCACTCCGGCTCAGTTTCGTACCCCGTGTCACGGAGTGCCCGGAGGTTTTGAGTGGTTTGGCTGCCGTTCTGGGTCGGCTGCTCGGCCATGTTAATTTTCTCGATCGCAGAGGTTTCTATTAAACCTGCCTCACAGGCCCTGTACTCGGTCTGATGGGCGCTCTTGTGGCTGCCAAGTAGAGTGGCCCGCAGCCTCAAGCAGGGAGCTGGAAGGTACTGCATGTAGCAGTTGTACACCAGCGCAGCCATGAAGAGGAGGAAAAACAGGAGGAAGAGGAAGAGGAGGGCAGCGGTGTTGTTGTGCTGCAAATACTCTGCCGAGGGGTCCCGACTGTCAGGATGGGGGCCTTTGGAATTAGTGGGAAGAAGATTTACCTTTGGCTGGAGCTTGACTGTGCTGCTGGGGGGCGGGGTTAGTGACGCGTCGCTTTGGGGAGGGGAGGGTGGTAGGACTGTTGCTGCTGTGAAGCTGGGAGGGGCAAGGGCTGAAGTTAGTGCGGCTTTCTCCGTCTCTACTTTACCTTCAGCTGCACCCGTGGTAGCTGCATCGTGGCCACCGAGGGTGGTGGTGACGACATGCCCCGCCTGGTGCGGCGGTCTGGGCAGAAGATCCAGAGTCAGGGTGTATCCGGCCAGCAGGCGGCTGAAGTTCCTGCCAGCAGCGGGAGACCACTCCACGGACCAGCACTCATAGTACCCTTGGTCCTCTGGAGCCACGCTGTAAATGAGGAGCCCGTTTTCGGCTATGAGGTGGAAGCGAGAGGCCTCGGTGAGAACCGAGTCGTTAGATTTCCACATCACCTGGGCCAGGTTGGAATGTACCAGGCACGGCAGCTCGGCAGAGCTCCCCAGTTTCACCGCCACATGCCTGTAGTCCTTCCGAAACAGAACTGGCACTAAAAATAAGCAAACAAAAGAGACAATTATGAGTACAAGTACCCACACACTGCAGTAGGCAAGAAGTGTAAATAAACTGGGTGGACCTGAACAGGTTTCAGCAGAAAAGTTAACAGTTAACTAAGAGTAATGGATAAGCTGTAAAAAAAACAGCAGCCAAAGGGAATTTGCAAATGATGAAAACCGATAAGTAACGACCAACAACAAAATGAATGTTTGACATGGCATGCAAAAATTATGGCTGACTTACGGTCACAATCTCTTCATCTATGCATAACTTCATCCGAGTCACAGTTTAAATCACACAGCATTGTCCACTTTATAAAACTGAAGCCTGTATATGGGTGTGTGAGCGTGTTGAGGCCTACCTGAAGGACACATGTTTGCATCACCTTTCATGCTCTGGATCAGCCCCCTGCAAGACATGCATTGTTTTAATGAGTCAAAAAATACACATGCACAGTGCAATAACTGCACAAAGACTGTAAAGCAGGTCAAGCTGGAGGACGAATCAGTGCACGTGTGTTTTTAGCTTTGTTTTAGTGGCATTAAGAGTGACAGATTACCTGAGTGTTTGGCTGGCAGTGTCAAAGATGTTGACACATGTGGCAGTCTTCGGGTGCCAGGCGCAGTAGGGGTCTCGTGCCAGGATGCAGTCCACACACGATGAATACCTGCCACAGAAAGCTGTAGGAGACTGGACTACACCCAGGTCTGACCCAGCATACAGGCACTGTGTCTGTGGAAACGCACATGAACCACAAAGTTAATCGCATATTTATCCAAGTGACTTATAAAAATGAGCCAACGTGATCCATATTTCACATTTTCTTGGTCTCATTCTTTACTCATCTCCTAAAACTCATTAACAATAAAATAAATTGACCTCTGAGGACAGCAGCAGGTTTTTGATGGGTTCAGCGTTCTTCAGGAGCTGGATCTCCTCCACAATATGAACCTCATCTTCAACCAGCACCGACTTGTGCAGGACACCCTTATCTAGACATGAGAATAATAAAAATGTCAGTTATTCTGCAAAGGTAATCGCAGGAAAACGGGACTCTTTAATACATTTATCTGCAAGTTTGTGGCGAGTCGTGGCTTTCTCACTGCACAGACATTCAAAGTTGACTGACTCAGATTTGCATATTTGCCTGATAAACTTCACAAGGAAGTGCTTGTAACGGCTTCATTTTCATTTCATCTTAACTGATCACCTGTTCCAGTGAAGATGACGTCATAAGTAATTTTGTCAAGTGCTTGGACCCTCTCCACGACAATCTGGGTGTAATTGACATCTTTGGTGATGAGGCGGGGCCTGTTGTGGATGGGCAGGATGGGATCCTCCAGCAGGGGGTGGTCCTTAACAAACTGAAGGGTTTTGTCGGGCAAGTGGAGCGAGTTGTTCATGTTCTGCAGTCGCATCTGGTTGTTAATACACTGGTGTGGAAGACAAATAGCGATGACGTTAGTAATCAACTTCATATGACCAACGCATCCTCTTTTAATTAACATGATTACTATATTGAGTAGATCACATCTTGATTACTCATGGCATCTACTTACAGCTCCAGGACGTGGAGTAGGAGTAATGCCGTTGTACCGTACCCACTTTGTGTGGGACTGCTCCACCGTGGCCTTCTGCATGTACTTGCCCTTGGAGAAGACGTCTTCCACATCCTTGATCTCGTAGGCACACACGGCTGACAAACCCACATTACCCCTAGGTGCATATGTCAGGAAGAGACAAGGAGAAGAGTGAAAATGAGGCAAGGGAGTGAGTTTTGAGTTCTGCATTAGGCTGGATGTGAATGCTGCTCTTTGCTTGCTTGTTTAACGCTCCCGACCCAAACCAATTCCAAACCTTGAAATCACTGACCACTGAGAGGTGAAGACTCCGTAGATGACCGTGTTTTTGCGGTCTGTCCCCTTCAGGATGAAAACGTCATGAACCACGTTGAAAACGAAGTTGAGCTCAGGCATGGAGCACACCAGCTTGGCTTTCAGAAAGGACGTCCACTTTTTCTGCAGAGTGCGCTGCCCTCCAAGGTCGCCCTGTCGTGACAATATTGGAGATATTTAGCAGTGAGGGATGAGAGGGCAGCTGGAGCAGAGAAAGAATTTCCACTTTTCCTAACATGCTAGAAACGCTGACCGTATCCAGCTTAACAAGGAGCTCTGAGCATTGCACCAAGTGGATTATGCACTTTCTTGCCCTACATTTTGCCTCTCAGGCAACATACAGGGATCCCTGACTGGGGGTGGAGGATTACGTGCAAATACATATATGTCTAAAAACTGTACATCCATTATTGCTTTTTTATTTGGTAACAGGAAACAAGACTAAAAAGAAAAGATGTAGTTACAGTTGCATTTACATTTTCAAAGCAGTAAAACTTGAAATGAATAGTACAAAAAGAACTATCCTGTTTGTTATACTACTAACTTTGAAACATTACAATATGCTGTTATGATGTATGTTGCAAGTTAAGTGCTTGCACTGGAACAGTGTTTTATATTGTCCACGGGCCATGGGTCTCTGCATGTGCATGCTGCAATTATGAGCTAAGGTTAAAATTAAAAAAAAAAAAAAAGAGGCAAAGGGAACTGGAAGGAGGAAGAAAAAAAGGAGAAAAAAAGACTTGCACAAACATACATACACAAACATGCAGGACACAGGAAATAGTGGCTAAAGATGGATGGATTGATAGCGCTGGTATGTGCAGATGGCGCACAACGTGTACTGACCTTACAGACACGCGCCACCCTGGGGATGAACAGCTTGCCAAAGAATTCGTATTCCACCGACACCTCGGTGAAGAAAAAGTAGATTTTGTCGTCCTCGCCATCTGCTCCATTTTCCCCTTCTCTGATCACGTCGGCGAAAACGAAACTGGGTTCTGGGAGGAAAGCAGAGAAAGGTATTGGTAAGAAAAAAAAATCCTGGAGGCCACCAGTGCTACCCCTCAACCTCCTAGTAAATTTTGTAAATTTTGAAAATACTAGGTCATTTTCAGCAAACCTGACCTCTGACGTTGAGGTCCAGGTCACTGAGATTTTAATTCATCCAAGATTTAGATACTAGATGCATCAATGCTATCAATTTCAAAATCCTATATCACTTTGTTCTCGAGTTCTGGATGGCATTTCCTCTGCCTCCAGAGGCAATTTTTAACCAGCAGCATATGTCCTTCAATGCACATCCATAAACAAATATCTGGGACTGCTTCCATTCGTGCAATATCTCTAAAATTAGAAATATCCTGTCTCAGAGTGACGCTGAAAACCTAGTTCAGGCATTAATTACTTTAAGGCCTCCTTTTAAAAGGGAGTTTTTCCTTCCCACTGTCACCAAAGTGCTTGCTCATAGGGGATCATATGATTGTTGAGGGTTTTTCTCTGTATGGATTATTATAGTGCCTACCTGACAATATAAAGCACCTTGAGGCAACTGATTTTGTGATTTGGTGCTGTATAAATAAAACTGAATTGAACTGAGTTATCACATTCACAAACCTGGGTGTCCTGCCTGGCGGAGTGACGACAATACCCCATCAGCCTTTTACGGCCAAGGGGTAAAAACTTTAGACTGCTCCCTTATTTCCCAGGGGGTTGGCACGGTGGATGGATGTCCGATTCTGCGCAGGGTTTATGCCGCATAACCTCCCTGATGCAACCCTCCCACTTACTTGTGACCCCCTGAGACTGGATTTGTGTCTCCTCCCAGAATCAAACTGGGATTTTTCACAAGTAGGGTGATATGGTACTGTAAAAAGTCTCACTGTATTCCTAAAGGTGGGATTAAGAGTCCTAAACTTTGATTAAATAAGTATGTGACACATTTAAATCTGACACACAGGATGGAGATAATTTGGGGATCTCCCTCTGGTGACGTGTAATGCTGTGTTCATATCAGCAACAATATCATAAAAGAGCCAAGGCCAGCTGTGTCACTCTTCATCATCATCTTTGAGTGTGTGTGTGTGTGTGTGTGTGTGTGTGTGTGTGTGTGTGTGTGTGT